TAGATAGAAATTTCAATGAGAAAGTTATACATCGGTTTGCAAAACGTCCGATCAGATAGTTTTGAACAGTTTATTTGTTAGGTGTGTTTTTCTACTAATTACAAATGCCCGCGAAATATGAAAAATACCACGTGACAAACCCGCTCGCCCGTCAGTGCGCACGATGATTCTAGTGCTCCCTAACGTCCCGCGTACAAACGACACGCTTCCCTCGCACCGGTTCCTGTCAGCGATAAGCAGTCACAGCAGTTGTCATTTTTGTGGCCGTTAGAAAAACGTGTTGATCGTAAAGCCACCACCATCGTTGCGGCCCTGCCGAGACAACACAATGGGGCAAGTGCTGTGGTCGTTCGTACGCGGAACGTTAGGGAGCACTAGAATCACTGCGCGCACTGGTGCACGAGCGGGTTTGTCACGTGGTATTTTTGTGTTTCGCGGGCATTTGTAATTAGCAGAAAAAACACTAATAGCCAACTAATATAAAGTTCAAACCTGTCTAATCGGAAGTTTTTCAAACCGATCCACAACTTTATCATCGAAATTTTATGTGCCTTTCTTTCTTAAGAAGTTAGTTAATTAAACATATCTAACTAAACAATAATTGAGAACACAAAAACATCCTGACTAACTCCAGTCAATGGTGAGGAACATGCATTTGGTCGCGTCGTGATTACGTGTTCCGGCATCTTTTTGAAATCTGGCTAAAGTTACGTTGGACACCCTGTATATCTTCTGCGTACATTAATGCTAGTAATGCCTAGGAGTTCAATGAGTTTTTTTTTCTTTGACGAAACAGAGGCTGAAGCCCAGGCCACTCCCAGCTACTTGGGCCTCTAATATCCTTGTAGGTACATCACGAATAACAACTTGATAGAAGATAGCCATGCCTAAGCCCCCGTTTTATCTCTGTAGGCTCGGATACCTGTTTTTTCTATTTTATAACTACCTGGTCACTTTTAGAGATATCTATTAAAAGATTAGGGACTCCATGTTCCACACATAGCATGACCAGTATTCCCCACAAGTCCTCTTGAACAATGCTATCGTACGCTCCCTTGATATCCAAAAATGCTAGTACAGGGGTCTGTGTTCCTTTCCTGCTATTTCGATGCATTGCATCATGTGAGGACAGATTGTCTTCCAATCTACTTTGTTTCCGAAATACATTCTGCAGTTTCCCCAGCACCTCCTCATCCTCTATCTATGCCTGCAATCAATCTGTATCACTATGCAGCCTGTAAACCAATGATGTCATTGTTATAGTATGGTAATTGCTTATGTCAGCTTTGTTCCCCTTTCCTTTGTACATAAGGCTCAACCTGCTTAGTTTCCATCCATCAGACTTCACCATTGATTATTTGTTTTGTTCGCCGCCTCTCTCAAAGTTTGCTTAGACTTGGAACCCAATTCCTTTATCAGCATAACTGGGATGCTGACAGTGCATGTTCATGTACTACTATGAACCCTCTTCTCAACCCTTTCCCACTCTCGTTGTGAAAATGAAGCCATTGCGCCACTTGTTCATCCTTGTCTATTGTGGTGCATAAGGCACTTCTTTGTTGAAATTTTTCTATCACCCTTGTTCCTATATATTAAACAGGTTCGTACCCTTCTAGCCTAACACTTGGAGCTGGTTATAAACCTCTGCTCTAGGTTTGTATCATTACGTAGGGAGCTCTTTAGACGGAAATTCAGCGGTTGTCTTAACATCCGTTTTATGTACTTTTGCCAGCCACTGAGCCCCCTTTCTTCCATTTTTTTATTGAACAGAAGGGATGTTTTCCTTCATCAGCTTAGAAAGATATGCCATTTTCTTTCAACATAATCTGTCGGTTCACCTCGCTGCTTAGCATGTCTGTGTTCCCTAGATTCTCCCTGAAGTTTTGCTATGGCTCTCTTAACTTCCTTACCCCACCAACTCTTGCGTTTGTGTCTTCTTTTCCGGGTTGACTTGTCACATGCCTCAGCAAGCTCTAGCTCAAACAGTCTAATGAGATTCGTGCATGTCGACACTGTTTTATTATCCTCGGTGATTACTTTCTCAATTTGTTTCGTGGCTAACTCTATTTGCCTTTCTGAATAAAAATGCCGGTGTAGTTGCTCATGTAATGTCTCTTTTACATTTTCATTGCTCTTTCAAAACATAGCTAGATACGTTTGTGATCACTACCCTGAGTACTGCAACTATATTCATATATGTGCATTCCCCCGAGCCTGTCTTACATTATATGTGACATCAGTGCATAATTTATCGTCGACTGCAGCCTTCCTATCTCCCACGTTATCTGCCCTGCACACTTCTCAGTACTGTGTCAAATGATCAAATCCAAAGAGGTTTCGCTAAAACCTCTGGAGTGGCGGAAGAGCTCCGTGGCTAAAGCCGGTGCGCCACCATATTGCTCAGCGTAGAAAGCGGATGGGCGCATTGTAGCGTACGTGGCTTTCAAGTTGTTTTTGTGCTAGTAATGTTGTCTGTGCACCTCTAATTGAACAAGATGGTTCTGAACTAGGCTGTGACCACTTTTTGAGACGACGATTGTGGGATTTTGGGTAGCATTTGGCTGCACAAATCATGTGAAGCGGACTCCGGGCTCAACTTTCGATGTGTAAGTAGGCATACTTCGCTCACTCGCTTTTCCTCTCTCATTTTCACGACTACGACTGCAATCGTGAGTACATAGATTCGCTTTTTACGTCCGGGTGCACAGAGACACTTTGAATAATTTTTGTATGTCTCAGGATTCCAAAGACGTCATGTTGCACGGCACATGAGAGTGTGCTCTAAGGCCAGAAGGTTAAGCGCCAAAAAAGAATTACGGCTGATGGTCAGTACACATGCTGAAGCAGGCTGCTTCGATGAGACAGGGTAAATAACGAGATGCAAGCTTCGAACATTACTGCCGTGGTTGCATCGTTTCCATGCGCACTTACAAAAGCCAGTACATGAGTGTGTCTAATACAAGTAAGCGCTTCGTTTTTGAAAGGTAGTTTATTATATTTGCAGGAACACTACGCTCCTAATGCCTAAATTTCTGATGTTGTGATATGCATCTCTATAGAGGAAAAAAAAGGAAACGAGCTTTTCTGAAAAGTCAAGAAAATACACTTTCGCCTAAAGCGTCTCTCATTCATAGAGCTGCCAAAATCTAGCCACCCACAAACCTCCCCCACAAATGAGTGCTGCAGGCGAAAAAAAGCAAAAACTGAAATTCTTTGTCAACTAGGTACAACTAACAGCTGAAAAAGAACGGTAAGGCATCGTAGCAAAACTTACCATGGGGCCTTTTAAGATATATTAAGACTTCTCGGAATTTCATTGACCAGATAATGAAGCAGAGCGTATTATCATACGAAGGATTGGAAGTTTTCTCCGGGTATCCAGAAGCTTCTCAAACGAGTACGTAAAAAAGCGAATACCCCCTCCCCCCCCCCCCCCCATAATAAAAAGAGTTTGCACACACGCTGCACCATTATTCGCCAAGGGCTTATGGTTCTGTCCGAGTGAAACTTTTATTTTCGCTGCTGGTCCTCCCTGGTTACTTCTGCTGTGAGGCAACTGTGTAAACATATAATGCGGATTGATGTCCTTGAGTGCGTTTTTATTACAGGGAAGGCTGTTATGAGATCAGAACATGGGTCCTGCGCGGCGCCGTAGTTGTCCGCTGCCGCTGCCCGTAACCAGTACCGAACGAAAAAAAAAAAGACTTAGTAAATCAAAAATATTACTGACACAACGAGATTACGACCGGGGCTCGCTACGTGCCTGCATGCCTTGTATTCTACCACTGAGTCACACTAGTCCTATGAACGCAGTAAATAAAAAAAAACACGCCAATGACACAATAGTCTTCTAACCCGGGTCCACTGCGTGCCAGCCCAGTATTCTACCACTGAGCCGTACCACGTGCTTGAAATTCGTTTCTAAACTGGTTTTAGGCAGGCTTGAGGGCGGCAAAGGAATCGCGTTAATATGAGTAATAAAGCATTTTAGAACATCAAAGGAAACAGCCAGGCGTCACACAATGCGAATTGAGTAATGACTGGGTCATCCAATGCTCCAACCTATTATAGAACTTGTTCTTCTACTATTAAGCGTGGCGCATAACCACTTCACGCATATTTCTTCATCGTCACCAGCCACTGCATAAAATAAATGCACAAAATTTTCGACAAGTGTGCAGCGGATACTGCGTACGCTTCTTCAAAGAATGACGAAGGATAGCATAGTGAATGCTGGACTACTACCCAAAATTCATGATTATTTATGGCGTTGTGGGTACCTAGCAGTGTGCTTGTAGCATCCCAAAGAGTGTTTACTCTGAAAGACCGCTCTTCTAGATTTTGCTGTGACTGTGCGGCGCGTTCCGCGCAAGCCTGGTGTTTTTCTAGCACGCTTAAAACGCCAAGTGTCAAAGGAAACTTGAAGCAGATCTGCATTGAAGTCCCTAGCACGTTCTCTCACCTACTAAGAATATTGAGCAGGTGAATTCGTAGCTATAACAAAACACACGGCCGCAAGCGCCCAGAGCTTTACAGCGATAAAAGGCACGCGCCGCCTCCTTCTGCCCTGAGCAATATGGCCACCGCGGCTTCACTTAGATACATGGGCGGGTATACGGGACCACCACTCTAGAAGTTTTCGTATAACCTCCTTTGTCAAATTATGCTTTTCACACACACACACACACACACACACACACACACACACACACACACACACACACACACACACACACACACACACACACACACACACACACACACACACACACACACACACACACACACACACACACACACACACACACACACACACCACACACACACACACACACACACACACACACACACACACACACACACACACGCAGCACACACACACACACACACACACACACACGATGGGCGTCTGTGCCTCCATCGACTGATCACGGGATGGCACCAAGGCCTGGCGCCTGCTGAAGTGCCTGCTGATGGTGCCACGGCCGTTCAACCAAGTGATGTCCCTGGCCGTCCACCTTTCCATCCAGGCAGCGGACCTGGCAGAACAGCTGGCCGACCAGTTTTCTGCGAGGGTAATTGTCCAGCTGCCTGCTGCACCTCCCGACAGCCGCATAAGTACAAGAGCTGTGCGGCGAACCCATCAGGAAACACGAGTTGGAGGCTGCCCTTGCAGGATCGAAAAGACGAAGTGCCCCGGGAGCTGATGGTGTCACCTTCCAGATGCTCCGTAACCTGAACGGAGCTGGCCGCTAGCACCTGCTCGAGTACTACAACGACATCTGGAGCAGTGGGGTCCTACCAGAGTCATGGCGCACTGCGGTCGTCACCCCGATCCTGAAGCGGCGGAAGAAAGCCATGGCCCTCTCCTCGTACACGCCAGTCTCTCTCACCTCAGCACCCTGCAATGTGCTGGAGAAGATGGCCTTGGAGCGACTCGAGTGGATTGCTGGCCAACTTGAGTTCTTTCCGGAACAACTGACTGACTTCAGGCGCCACCGGTGCACAGCCGATTCCATTTCCGACGTCGTCGCCACCCTTGAGGATGCCAAGAGCTGTGGTGACGTGGCGATGCTGCTCCTGCTAGACGTGGAGAGTGCCTTTGACAGTCTCCCACACGAGGTCGTCGAGACGTCTCTGGACCGACTTGGCGTTCACGGGTGCCTCCGCAGCTTCGTGACTGCCTTCCTGACCGGCAGGACCTTCCGGGTTCGAGTTGGCAAGGAGACCAGCAAACCCAGAGACACCACCGCAGGTGTACAACAGGGCTCCGTCCTGAGCCCCTTCCTGTTCAACCTGGCGATGGCAGGACTCCCCACTTCTCTTCCGACAGGCACCAGATTCGCAGCCCACTGCTCTGTCTACGCCGACGACGTGACACTATGGGCCCGGGGACCCAGGCGGTCCATTCCAGCCATCAGGACGTCACTGCAGGCGGCCCTGGATGTGGTGTCCACCTACCTGAGTGGCATCGGACTCAAGGTCTCCGCAACCAAGACCGAGGCCCTGCTGATCCACCCGCTGGCCGCAGCACGACGCTACGTGAAGCAGCTGAGGGTCGGCAACCACAACCTGCCTTGGAAGCTGACAGTGAAGTACCTGGGGCTCACCATCGACCACCGTCTCACCTAGGTCCGAGCTACCAAGGTCGCCTGCACACAGGTACGGCGAGTCCAGGGAGCCATCAGCAAGCTGCCGCAGCGTGGATACGGCTGCACAACCAAGCTGGCGCTTCGACTCAACCAGGCTTCAGCGTCCTCAGTCCTGCTGTACGCCTTTCCACTGGTAGACCTGACGCCTGCCAGGAGACTGGACCTGGAGGGACATCACAGGAGAGCAATGAGGGACATCCTGGGGCTCCCCAGGTACTCCCCTGTGGCAGCGACCCTGGCCGAGGCTGGAGAGTGGCCCCTGTCACTGCACATGCTCCAGCGTGCTCTGGGGCACGTAGACCGCCTACACCGTGCTGCCGACAGCAGAACCCTCCTGGAGCGACTTCGCAGCCAGTCGAGGTCACGGATGGGTGGTCTCTGTGCACTCTACCACCAGATGGTCCCGGACCCGCCAGTCCCGGTGGCCCCTCCACCACCCCACCACCAGCCTGAAGTCCACCTGTACCTGGACGGGGTAACCAAGCGCCGAACACCTGCTGCAGCACTGCAACAGGCCGCCGTCTCCAAGCTCCAGCAGCAACTGGCAGGGCGGCTCCAGGTCTTCACTGACGGATCCGTCATGCCAGACGGTTCAGCGGCGGCCGCCTGCGTCATCCCATCCCGGGCCGTCAGCAGGCAGTGCCGACTGCCCTTCCCGGCGAGCTCGACCGCTGCGGAGCTGGCAGGGCTACACCTGGTGGTGGACCTGCTGGCCGAGGACGTTCCGGCTCAACCGGTCGGAGTCCTGTGTGACAGCAAGGCAGCCCTGCAGACACTGGCCAACCATCGCCGTGCCGGGCTCACGGGGAGTCTCCTGGCAACCAAGTACCGGGCCCTAGCAGCAGCCGGGACGTCCGTCTCCTTCCACTGGCTGCCCTCTCACGTGGGCATAGCTGGCAACGAGGAGGCAGACACGCTGGCCAAGGCAGCACATCAGCTGGGAACCCCCATCACTCAAGCCGTGCGGTGAGAGATTACTCGCAGGCCCGTATCAAGAAGCTCCTCGCCTCAGTCCATCCGGACCAGAGGGCGGCATATGGGCGGGGACCCAGGCGTCTTCCTGAGGCAGGCCTCACCAGGAGAGAACGAGCCAACCTGCTGCGGCTGCGGACCGGATGCGTGTGGACCGTGGCCCGCCGCTACCTCAAGGGATGCTGCGCCTCCCCAGCCTGCAGCCGCTGCGGCGACCCCGAGACCCTCGAGCACCCTCCTCTGTGCCTGCCCTGCCTTGGCCCAGGAACGCTCGAGGGTCACCGCAGCTTACCGGAAACATGGTCTTCCTGCAATCACCCTAGAGCACCTACTTTTTTCATCTCGTCCCCATCTACCAGTGCTTCGGAGCCTGGTAGAGTTCCTGGACGAGACGAGAATCGTGGCCTACCGCTGAGGATGGGCCCCTTGCCACCCCTACCCTTGCTTCTGGACTGCTGCTTCTGTTGATAACGACCGTTCCACTGTTCAATTAATCTTTCCTCTTCTTTCCACTTTTCTCCCTTTTCCCTTCCCCGCAGGCACTGCGCCGTGCTCCCGACCGGGTTGCAGAAATTAGGTGCCTTTTCTCATCTTCTAACCAATACCACACACACACACACACACACACACACACACACACACACACACACACACACACACACCACACACACACACACACACACACACACACACACACACACACACACACACACACACACACACACACACACACACACACACACACACGTATATATATGGACGGATTGATAAGGCTGTATCCTATAGATTGGGTAGAGTCACTGGAAATATATGCATTTGTATTCCGGAGCGGCGGAGTATTGGTGTAACATTTCTCGATCCTGTGGGTAGGTGGCGCTGCCGCTCACTGGCACGCATTCAGCGCGGGCGCTTGCGCGCGCTATCCTGCCGTTGTACACCTTGGTAAATGAGCGTTGTTTCCTTCATTTCACTTTTGGCAGGCTCCTTGGCCTTTTCATCAACGCGAATTTAGCTCAAAAGACTGCTGGCTTCGGCTGAAAAGTACGCGAATGTTGCTTGCTGAATCCGCGTACGTTGTAGCTCTGTTGGCCGTGATTGAAGTTCTCGATCTTGCTGCGCGAAATAGGTATCCTGCCTTGTACCTACGCTTTTTGATCGTGTCTCATAATAAAAGCGCCCTCAGCGTTGCCGCGGCACTAATTACGCAAGCGCCCACATTGTCGATAACCTAAGTAAACAGCTTAAAGTGAAACTGGGCAAAACGTTACGGCGCCTGGTCTGCAAACCGTGTACCATTAGTCCCCCACGTTTTTGCTGAAGACAGCACATTAACCGCGTCAAAGTAATATTGAAAGAACACAGTAGGTAAGAAATCAGCACATGCAACGTCTTTACGGTTTACTGTATAACTTTTCACAACACGAAACTGAAACACTGAACTTGACTCGACACTCACTGGCACCGCCTCATCTCCAGAAGCTTTTGCTTTTGCCTCTGCAAATTTCTAGTTTTGTTGGAGCTTTGGCGAGAAAATGCAGCCTCGTGAGAGCATAGAATTTGATGATGTTTGCTGTCACTTCCCGGCCGTGAACTTGGCAGCCAACCATCTTGATTGCCTTGGATAAAGCTAAGAAAACAGGTCATGCTCTCAGCATGCAGCAGGTTGTGTCTGAAAAAAAACCAGTAAATGCGTTCTCAAGTTCTGTCACAAGGCGTTCAAGTGGTTTCGATGGGTAAAGCAAGCCACCATAATCAAAGGCTTGAGATAGTGAAGCGTTACTATTCAACGTGGCCTGAATAGAAAGAATGCATAGTGATGATGCACACTCGAGACACGATATTTTCTTCATGGTCTTGCGTACAACGTAACCAGCTCCATAATAAATTAATCGGCTGTCACTCTTCTTTTCTACAAAGTCCTTGTGATGAAATAAGGAGCTGTGCTTCTCCATCATATCTGCGGCATCTGCTAAATTTCCATCATCTAAAAGCCTGTCCACGAGAGTTGTCATTTTACCAGCTTCTTGCGTAGATGCGTCAGACGGCTCCAAGAGTGCACTGATCAGCTCAGGCTGAGACTTTCTACCCCTGTGTGGTCTTGCTAAGCTATAGAAGCTGAGGTTATTAATAATGATCAAGAACTGTCCTGCAGTCGGATGATGATTACATCCGAATGGCTGACGAACAGTCCCAAAGACGTTCTCTACTTTGTCCTGACTAAGGTTCGCAGTAAGCAAGTAGTTATATTGAAGCTTGGAAGTGGCATAATTCAAAAGAGACAGCGTACTTTTCAGTGTTACATGAAGTCCCAGGGCAGTCCCTGCACTCAGAAAACCACCACCATGCTTTGCTGCATGCTCCTCCCATTCGCCTAAAAAAATAGTGAACTTTTCCAAGAACTCTGCACTTTTTGAGTCTGATCGAAGACCTCTGAGTGGTGTTCGCGAAGACATGATGAAAATCAACTTCTCCATAAGTCTTACAAAGTGCTATGTAGGCTCGACTATACGGAACTTTTCCTGCAAATTACTCTTGTAGAAAAAGAGTCCTTTCAGGACCTCCTCGCTGAACAGCTGGTATGCCAGGTTTACGCGCATTTTTTCAAAAGCAATTCGCTCGACATGTGCTTGTGTTATATGTGGCATCACTTTCAGTGTGATGGCTTCTCTGTCATTTTTCCAAGCCTCCTTGATAGGACTGACATGGACGTGGCCTTGTCGGATCTGTAATCTTTTGGAAACAAAGGCATTCCGCACGCACTTAACAAGGTGTGGAAAGTCAGAAGTCATGTGTAGGTGTCTTGCAGAATCAACAGGATGGGGAGCCTTGCATATGATTTGCACTGATGACGCTGCAAACAGTAAGAAAATTACTTAAGCTAATGCAGGCAAGAAAAACATTGTTTTACAAAGATGTACACAATGAGGCAACTTATCCTTTATTCCAAGCAGCTTCCAAAGACTTCTGTTCTATGGCGCACCGTCGCTTGTCCAATAATCAACACGAAGACCTGATTTTTCGGCAAGTATCGTCGCTTCAAGAAGTAATTTAGAAAGCAGAGGGGCCTTCACGTTGCCTTTAGAAGAAAACACGCCAAATATTTGGGTCCATCCGCCTGTAAATAAGGCGAAGCAATTATTGCAGTGTTTTGGACAAAGCAAGGCTCTTTGTTTCACATATGCGAAATTAAAAAGTGGACAGAAACCAAATTGTTTTTCTTTGTAAGCCACACGTGACATTAATGTAGTATAATTAACAGAAACCACCCACCTTGGAAAGGCTGAAACATTATGATGAGTCCGTGGTCGCTCAGAGAAGTCTTGTCTTCTGGTTCAGTGAAGTCACCAAGGTCTACAAAGCCACTCAATTCTCCACACGCTTTCAGTGCAATATTCTCGGATAGTTTCAGTTCATCAAAAACAAGGCCCCCATGAAGACTGAACTCATCCATATCCTTTGTTTTTTGCTCCAGGGCTGAAAACACCTTGGGGTTGAAACCGAATGTGCTTTTAAATCCCTGCAAGTGCTTGTCCAAACAAGTCTTGCTTGGTAGTGCGATGATTTTATGCTTCCTTATATGTTCCTATAGCTGCGGGCTCTTCATCCGCATCAGGATGCATTCCAGAACCCACAGCTTGGCGTAAGCCACGCCACGGCTCGACTTTCTTGACGCGGCTTTAAAACAAGTTCGTACAGCCAACTGCTGTTTTGGCGGCAGTCCGCAAATTTTTTGCTCGACAGCCGTATCAGCCACAGACTGACTCACAAGCCGCAGTTTTTCTACCATTTCTTGGGCTTTTGCGAGCTTTCTCCTAGTTCGCAACAGCTGAACAGATTGCCTGGCAGCTCGTTGCCGGAATTTCGGTTTGGAATTCTGCTTCTGTCTGCTCATCTGATTTGATATAAGCTTTCTGGTGTACTTGCAACGCAAACACTGTTTCCCTTCTGCTGTTGTAACGAGCATGCGTGCGAGTAGTACGATTCACCAAACTTCGTGCACTGACCGGTCTTGATGGGCTCAATACCACACCCAGGGCACAGAAACAGCGCGTCAGCTTTCTTTAACGCCGCGAGCGCATCACTTTCAGTGGCCACGAAAAATTCATCAACCTTGACATTGCGGCAGTATATTCGGCACAACGATGTTTCAGCCTGTTCCTGCGTCGTTTCCGAGCACCCCGCGAATGTGACGTGCTTGTGAACGAGCACATCTCTGCATTTTTCCCCACGAATGTGCCATCTGCAGCAAAGTTCCCCAGGCTCATTATTCAGCACAATTTTGGTGCAAAAAGCTGATGGTTGTGAGATATTGCTGAACAGGTGAGCAGAAGTCTCCGACGCTGATCGTACATCAACACTCTCGGTGAGTTCACAGTCGGGCATGCCTTCATCTAAAGCCATGCGCTTCGGTGGTGGGGCATAGTGGTTAGCGAGGTCTCTCTCTTTCCTTCTTTTTGGAACATGCTTTGTGAAGTACAAAGGTGCATCTGGGAATATGGTCGGCATAGCGTCATCGGTCAGCGCTGGCCGTTCGCGTTCAAGCTCCACAACCTCTTCATTGATGACATGTTTGAATGTTCTCTGTATGTAGTGTTCATCAAAATGACGGGAACACACCACACATATGTATTGTCAAGTACCTTGTCGTCTCGTTTGATGTTTCTCGACCATTCCTGCAGACGAACAGGATCTGTGGGAGCTCGAAACAATGACACTTTTACCTCTGACGACTTGTATCCACCCTTGCAGAGTGGCACAAAGCACGTGCTACCCTTACGGGCAGGCATGGTCACACATCCGACGAGAAAGGTGAACGCCGACAATATATGATGTTCGCAGCTCCTTCACAAGTAAACAAAGCATCAGGACGAAGTAGTTTG